CAGTCCGAAAATCAAAACAAATGATTAAACTCAATTATCTCAAAATAAAATTTATGTAAAAAAGGGCTGTTTTAATAAATAACACCCCATATACGAATGGATTTTAGAACAGACAAAATTAGCTACTGGCAATGTTTAACCAATGACTATTTTTACAGATGCAGACCCAGCTATACAGGTAGCTTTATCTAATGAATATCCTAGTACTATCGTTCGATATTGTACATTCTACATTCGGCAAAATTTGGTCAAAAAAGTTAAGAGAAGATTTTTTTTCTTTTTTTTTTATTCTATAATATTTTTTTTTTGTTTTTTGAAAACTCTCATAAAGAGGAATGCCAGAAGGCATAGCTATTTTATAATATTTAATAATTCAAAACTTTTTCATTATTACTAATAAGGCTTCACAATAAATAGGAAGAGTTTATTTCTGAATTTTATGTGCTTCGAAATTCACTAATAATAGCTAATTTCGATCATCGTTGAATAGAGCTAATGAATAAATACCCTGAGATTCAAGGATACTGTGATCGAGTATTATATCCAACCAAAGAGTGCTGGGCGTATGCATTTACAAAACAGAAGTTCTCAGCTAATACACATTCAACACAGCAGGTCAAAAGTATAAACCATGTTATAAAATTAGAGGCAAATTCTGGAAATTTCTTATGTCAGCTTCAAGCCAGAATTGAATTACAGTTAAAAGATGAAGCAAAATATGCAAGTCTACAGAAATTTCGAAATATGAACCCAACAAGAAGTCTTCCTCATATTTCCAATACAATTTTTTAAAGCATTGATGACATGTGTAAGAAATACTTTATGCCAAATTCATTAGCTTTATAGCGCAAGCAAATGCTAGAAAGTCTTTTATATAGAGTTTTATTACATTCTAATAAACTTAACAATGATATGAATCAGGCAAGTGCTTCTATCATATTTCTAATTTTACATATTTGTTACTTGATAAAGATGCGCTTCGTTATCTGCTTTTGGCCCAAATTAACAATTTGGACCGAAAACTGATAACGGATCACATCTTTAATTACTTGTTATGTTATTACTGAAGATCATATGCAATATTTGATTAGGAATCAAACTATAATATAGGATTCATAAAAGATAATTATGAGGAGCCACAGGTATTATTGGATATGGCTTTAGAGAATTGTGCTAGAAGTAATGTCAATGAAATATGGGAGGTTAAACATATTCAAAGCATAACAAATCATTCGCAATTTATTTTATTACTTGATGATGGTACATACTATTGCACATGTCTCTATCTAGTTTATGCTGGATTTGTATATTGGCATTTTTTTGCTGTGATGATTCAGTCCAAAAAAGTATTCTTCAATATAAGGTTGATACCTTCACATTGGTTCTCTGAAGGTCTTGCAATGTTTGATAATGATCAAGAATCTTCGATTCAGATAATACAAAATGAAAATAAACCACCTACTGGAACATTTCAGGTATTAGAAAGGATTCACGGTCAAGAAGTTATTAGTAGAGTTGCTGTGGAATTAGAATCGAAAAAAGTTTTTTATAGTCGTGGTTTGGGGCTTTGTAAAAAGGCTCTCAACATAGCAATTACGAATAATTCTAATAAGGCTTTGGAAAATCTCTTGCAACAATTTATTGATGAACAGATTTTATCACAATGTCAAAACACATACGAATCATCTGTGCAAAAATTAGATCAAAAGACCAATGATTTTAAAATTCAGACCCACTTCAACATAAGGGTAAGGGCCGTCCTGCAAACAAAAGATATTTATCTGCTAATAAGAATCATAATATCAAGAACGTTGGCTCGAACCATCAAGATGATGAAACATTAGAATCAGGATCAATAAAAAAAACAAGCGGCAATGTACTATGTGTAAGTCATGGTATCATGATTCTCGAAATTGTCTTTTAAAAAAAAGACTGAATAAGGTCAAGTATACGTACTAGGCAGAGTAGTGGGCATTATAATTTGCTATTTGATGTAGTTATGTGATTATGAATTTATTTGTGCATTGATTGTTTGAACACTTGTTTTGTTATCATATATACAGTCATACATAAATGTTATATTTGCATGTAAAATACTAACTTTTATCTAGCAGTTTCAATGAAAGTTAAGTATAGGTATTAATTGCAATGTATAGTACTTATTAGTTACATGTAAATTGATGTTATTTTATGTTAGCTGTGCCGAATAGTAAACTACAAATATAAATGAATGTTTCAAAGCGTCCTTTTTTAAGAGTTAGGGTTAGGGTGAGTGCTATTCATTTTTATTTTTTCAGGTTAGAGGAGTTTAGTATAAATGATGTGGCTTAAAAATCGTATTCCTTTAAGAGTTAGGGTTAGGGTGAGTGCTACTAATGTTGATTTTTCAGGTTAGGGGTTATTTAGAAAGAATT